TCATTGTTATCATCATCATCGTTGTTTTTATTTGGTACGTATTCTCCGTCTTGACGAAAACCACAATCTTCCTCTTTAGACTCCATAAACAATCCCTCACCATCATCTTCATAATCGATATTTTTTGTGTTCTTGGTTCTGCCACCAGTTCCGTCATCTATAATTCCCCAAACTTCAAATTCTTTGGGTGCACTAAGGACATCCACCGCGACACGTTTACTAACATGATCATAGGTAACTGCGGTGACATAAACTCGTCTATTCAATAATACTGCTATTTGACCGTCCTGACCTGGAAAAGGCCAACATTGTCCAACGTTGATGTCTGGTGAAATAGCTGTCACTGGTGGTTTGCCTCTTAATATACCTTGACCTGATACATATGCAAATAATCTTTGATACCATTTTTCAGGCCAAAGCTCATAAGTTTTACTTGTAAATCTACTGATAACTTTGGCACCACCTGAATGAAGAGCAAAATCTGGTCGATTCAATTTATCTTGAGAAAACACCAAAAGTTCTTGTGATACAATATCCTTAGCTTCTTTTCGTATCAAATCAAGTAATTCTTGTCTTTCTTGTTTTCTACCTCTGTATCTTTGTGTTTCGCTTTTGATTTGTGAAGTTTCTTTTTTAAGTTCTGATAAACATATTGACTTAACTTCTGAATTTATTAATGAACGAAAAAAATCAGGATTCGGTTCATTGGATTTTATGTTGCCTGAATTTCCCATACAATTTTTAACCTCGTCCATAATAATCGCTTTCAAATCGTCTATAGTAAGCACCGTATCGTTATCATCGCCTGATAAAACGTTACCTTTTCCTTCAACAATATGTTTTATTTTAAAAGTATTATCATCCGTTTGCCAGAATTGAAATCTTACAAGGGATTCAAGCTTTGATAATGGCGAGTTATCGCTATAATTTCTATTATTACTATAAATTACAGTCATAATTAATATAATCAAACAAATTAAAAAAAATTTATTCTGATAAACATTTGTAATATAATTATTTGTATTGATAGTATGACGATGATGTATTCTTGCAATCACTCCTTGAACTGACGATGTTTCAGATGCTTGATCTGATTCTAAGAGTTTTCTCACTAACTCTTCTTCTCTTGAAAAAGGACTAGCTGCATATGCTGTATATTCGTGTTCTGGTCGTTTTTTTACATATGCTGTGTATTCTGTAATTCCGTTACCAACATGATCAATTCCACCCTTTTGTATTTCTTTATCTCTTGCACTACTAATACTATCACGATTTTTGGGTGATCGTCTATTATTGTTATTCGTCATTGTTGTTTCTGAACCTGGAGATTTGGGAGTTTTTCGTCTTCCAAGCATATTTATATTTTTTATAAAAAACTTTAAATAAAACTTTTTTTGTTTAAATTATTAAAAAATAAATAAATGAAAATTTTTGAGGTAGGACCAATATATTGGATACAAACAAATACAATTCCCGAATATACTATTTTTAACAAGAATTAACTTGGTGCAACTTTAACAATGTTTTTTGTCTTTTTTTGTATGTTTTCTTGTACAGAACCACCACAGAGGATTCAGAGAATTGATGCTCAAAATTTTTTTGTTGCATTGGAAAACAATATTGAATGTGTAATAATTTAAATTAGTAAGTTTAAGTTACATTCAATTCAAACAATCGATTATTATCTATCAATGATTAAACAAAATTTTTGGGATGTTTTGAGGAAACACTTTATGAAAATAAAGGAGAACAGGATGGTTGTATTCGTGTGCTGTCAATAATTGCAAGCAAATTTACTTGTGCTGAATTGGAGGGGAGGGAGACTTTGCCCAAGTAAATTATCACAGTATAAAGTACATGATAAAGAATCTTGTATGATTACCTATATAATGTAAAAGACTATAGATTTGCTCCACATTTATATATAAGAAGATATTTAGACCATTTTATGAAAAAATAATCTCTGGCTACTAGTAAAGCACATATTGATATCTGTATTTTATGCAACTTCTTTCCTTCTCTGGTCAAGATCATCAAATGCATAAAAAATTACTATTAATATATCATTTAATCTATTGATTTCTACTAAAAACAAACAATAAATAAAATCAATTTTATTAAAACAGGTAAACAAATAAACAATTCAGTGCTTATTTCCCTAGAGACAAAAAAAACCCCATTTCATTAAAAAAAAGCAAAACATTGGTTGATCAAACATCTAGAAAAAAAATTATAAAATAAAAAACAATTTAGTACAAAAACTACATCAAAGAAAAAAATACAATAAGAATAAATATTGAATTTTTAAACAATTATAAATTAAGAACTATCATTTGTGTTATCAACATCATCTAACCATATTAACTATACTATTAATTAATTTATTATTGTTCATCTATTATCATTAAAATAAATAACAACTAGTCATTTATAAATGCTTTTACCCTAATTATTATTTTCATTGATAACATGAACTGTATATTATAGTCACAAATATAACTTTCATGTGGCATTGGCGGAGTTGATTTTCTTTAATAATCTTTTTTATTTGCAATAATGAAAAAAAAATCAATGATTGCCGAGTTTAAAAAATAGTGTGTCACGCAAATGACACTATTTTAACCATTCCCGATTTTTTTGACGCATTATTGCATGTTTCTACATTCAATAACTATTTATTGAATGTCCGACTATGAAACATTCCAAAAATTTCCCTGATATCCAATAATGAAAATTTTAGCATAGACAGGCATACAATAAAGTTAATTAGCATAAACTTTGAAACAGCCCCATATCATATGCTTAAAAATCTTCAAATGCATAGCTGAAAATAATGAAATAGAAGCTTCTCCCAAACAAATTAAATATGCATATCTAGATTTAATAAACATTGCAAAAAAAAAAAGCAGCTGCAATTTCCCTGTTTCAATCTTAATTATAATTCTATTTATTTTATTGTTTCATTTGAATATTCACGAATAGTTCTAATAACTTGAACAGTTCTTATTCAAATAAAAGCTCTAATTAAAAAACAAGTTACATGAACAGTAAAATTTTTATAAAAAAGAAAAAAATTTTTTAGTATTAATGCAAAGTCGAATTTGATCGTTCACCGATTCATAGAAGGACCTTGGATTTCCGATTGATTATATTTTTTTATTCATAGCTTTCAATAAGGGAATGCCAAAAATCCTTTCAGACAAAACGATCTTCACGACAATTTCGGCCAAAAATTATAAGGACACTCTCTAATGAAACATTGTGATATCGATTCATTATAGCGTGTAAAAACAACGAGATTTATAAAATCTTGTTTAACGGAAATGTTATTAAAACGTTTCAAAATCATAAATATTCTATCTATTTATTGGTTTTTAAATAGTAAAAAATTATAATAGTGATGTTAGCTGGTTAATAATCTGCATACATAATTTCTAAATTTGGGAATAGATATTCGCATTACCTTCTGGTTATTACCAATTTAGGTAGTAAACGGCTAACATCACTACCAACATCATGTCAATTTTAAATACGTGTATATTCGAATGCGACCATTAAATATGTAACTTCAATGGAAATAGAGGCTGTTTTAATGTTGGTTTATGTTCCATTAAATAAATTGTAGCATTATATCTAGCGTCTGACGAGGGACACATACATAGTGACACCTCGCATTAACTAGTTGCACATAGCGAAACATTGATTTAATCTATTAATAAATTAATAAATAAAATTTTATAATGCTTTTATAAAATTATTATTACAATTATATATATAACATCAAAAGTTAAAAAATAAATAATAATATTAAGATTTTTAGAAATGATGGACCAAACCGTGTCTGGCGTACAGATGGTACACGTTATAACGTTGAAAATATGGTTCCTTCTGTTAAGCATGGTGGTGGTGGAATAATGGTATGGGGATGTTTTTCTGGAAAGGGATTAGGACCATTGGTTAAAGTTGAAGGTAAAATGAATCGCCTTGACTATATAAAAATTTTAGAAAATGATTTACTACCAACAATTGGAAAACAATTTAATGGCAGGTGTTATTTATTTCAAGATGACAATGCACCTGTCCATACTGCCAAAGATGTAAAAAATTGGATTATGCAAAAAAAAATTAAAGTACTACCAGATTGGCCTTCTCAATCACCAGACCTTAACCCAATTGAACATCTTTGGGCTGAACTTGAAAGGCAATTGAAAAAAAGAAATAGCCATCCTAAAAATCCAACAGAATTAGAGATTGCTTTGAAAGAGGAGTGGTCAAAAATTCCTCAAGAGAAATATCTTAATTTAATTGAAAGCATGCCAAGGAGAATTGAGGCATGCATTGCAAATAAAGGATGGGCTACAAAATATTGAATTTAATTTTTAATTTTTAAATAAATTTTTCGTCAAATTTTGTTGATCATCATTATTACAATTTTAATTGTATTTCGGTTTTTTTTAACTGAGAATTTTAAATACATGCTAAAAACATTAAAATTTATATACATGATCGTAAGAACCTAGGCTAAAAATTGATGTAAAAAATTTTTTTTTATGCTATGTAAAATTTTGCGGAATTATCAAAAAGGTGCGTCTGGATACTTTCTTCCAGGTAGTGTATATGTGATTTGTAAAACATAAAAATAAGAGAAGTATTATGGTGCGCGAAGCCTATAACCACCATTTTTGCACGTGATTTTTGAAAGAATAGAAGTCCGTTTCTGTTGATCCTT